TGCCCCCCAATATGACGTCACAAAGCTCTACCCCCCCCCCCCAAACCATATTTCCATTTTGAAAATAAAACATGCTTCAAATCGCTTTAAACTATTGTCATTGTAGTGCGTATTTAATGTGGCGCTGCACTCTGATGTTGTAGGAGTATTGCTATAACAATTAGTGTTATAACAATTCTAGATTCATTTAAAGTTGCGCATTTTGATGTGACGTCACATTTCTAAACCCCCCCCCCCCCTCGTCACACATCGTCACAAATATCTGACCCCCACCCCCTAGGTGCGTGACGTCATTTATGGACGGCCCCATATAAGTGTCAACATCATCACGTCGTCGTTACACCCACGGTCTCCAACATTTGACGCTGTAGGGCCACGGGGTGGGGAACGTCCGGCCCGCGGGCCGTATGAGGCCCACGAAATCATGTGGGTGTGGCCCTGCCAAGGCAACCGCAGGCGCGACTCGAAATTCAATAAATCTAGGAGAAAACCTGGAAAAGCAGTTGCGAGTAGCAGCAACATCATCAATACCAGCTAACATCACACGCCTCGCCAAAGAGAAGCAGTTCCAGCCCATCGCATTAGGGGTGAGTTCATTAAATGTTTGACCAAATATAACAACAGGCTAATTTTCCATTTTAAAGCTTTCGTGACTGCAGGGATTCATCTTCTTGGTTCTTTCGGTAAAGTCACGTAGAAGGGAAATAATAAAATAATAAAAAATAAAACATTATAAAATATTTTATTATGTCTAATAAAAAATATAAACAGAATCAAATATTTTATTATGTTTTATTTTTATTATTTTATTATTTCCCTTCTACGTGACTTTACCGAAAGAACCAAGAACAGGCAAATTTTTAAGTTGATGATTTTGTATGGCCCGCGAATGATGTCATACATATCCAAATGGCTCTTGGCAGAAAAAAAGGTCCCCTACTCCTGCTGTAGGGGAACGTTCCGTCTTCTCAACACGCAGCCACTGCAGCTGCGTCGTGTGGTTCTTGTCAAGGGGGGCAGGGGGGGGGCAAATCGTAGCTTTGGTCACCAAGGGGGGTTGGGGGTGGTTGGGAGGTTAAGGCACCCCACGCTGATTACGCTGCTGCTGGGATTAGGAATAAATTATTGGGGGGACTCATTAATGCCTCCCCCCCCCCCGCTGATCCCTCCCCCACTAGATCTGGACCGTACCAACTCAGCCTAAGGGAGGGGAGTTTGGGGGGTAAGGCACCCCCACGCTAATTACGCTGCTGCTGGGAAAGGGAATACATTATTGGGAGGACTCATTAATGCACCCCCCCCCCCCGCTGATCCCTCCCCACTAGATCTGGACCGTACCAACTCAGCCTAAGGGAGGGGAGGTTGGGGGGTAAGGCACCCCCACGCTAACCACGCTGATGCTGGGAATAGGAATACATTATTGGGGGGACTCATTAATGCCCCCCCCCCCCCCCCGCTGATCACCTCCCCCACTAGATCTGGACCGTACCAACTCAGCCCAAACATCGACTCAGAGACTCACATTGTTTCGCCTGTTCAGCAGCGCGCTTGTCAATTATAATACGGCGATGTTGAGTGTAAATTCATTGATTATGTTTTATTATTATTATTTTATTATTTCCATTCTACGTGACTTTACCGAAAGAACCAAGAAGATGAATCCCTGCAGCCACGAAAGAAGCTTTAAATCGAAAAATTATTTATAGTTTACTTATTTATCCAGGAAAGACACTCTGAGTTACAGGAGTTTTTTTTTTGAAGAGGGCCTTGTGGGTTTTTGTTTTACTTTAAGATGTTTTCAACCAATAAGGTGTCAACCAAAACCACCTTCAATCATGATTTGAAGCTTTCGTGACTGCAGGAATCCATCCCATTTGGTTATTTCGGTAAAGTCACGTAGGTAGAAAAAAAAATTAACTCGTAAAAACAAAGTTTTTCACTATAAATCGTTTATATGCGTGGCGGCTAGAGTCCTCTCGTCCTCTGGCTTGAGATGGCTGCCACCTATGGATCAGATGATTGCCTGCCACCATTAAGTAATTGGTAATTAAATATAATTTTTTTTCCTAAAAAGTGCAAAATTTTTGAAAAAAAATTTCACGAAAATTAATTGTCACGCACAACGAGTCTGTGTGCAAAATGTCAGCTCGATTGGATCACGGGAAGTGGGTTGAAAAACGACCGAAAGATTTGCACGGTCGTAAGCGCGCAAGCAAGCAAGCAAGTGAACTTAATATTCAGATTCCAAAGAACACAGGATGAGATGTTACTATCCTTTGTGCAAGCACTTCCAAGAGTTCATGAACAGTGAGCCTGGTGAAATTTGGGGAGCGCATCGTCAGTAGTGACCCTTTGGTTCCTAGGGTGTTTCGGCCTTTCATACTATACACCCTCCCCAAAGGCGGCCAGCGACAGGGTGATCAATCCTACGCTTGCGTCCCATTCCCAATTAGTCATAGGAGTTGCCTTGTTGTTGGTAGCCATTTTAATAAATCACGACGTTTCGGGCGCAACACAAGCATCCTTTTCCCACCTGATGACGTGTTGCGCCCGAAACGTCGTGATTTATTTTATTGTATACCTACGTGACTTTACCTACTTATATACCCTTCGGCGTATTAAACGTTTAGTTCATTGAGTTACATGGGTTCTTAAAATGTATTTATAAAACATGAACAAGAAAATATCTTAAAGTGAATATGTGACTTTGTGCAAACAGAAAATCCAAGAAAAGACAGCAAAATATTGCAGAAAAAACACCGTACACCAACGGAAACAAGTCAAACAACAACAACAACCACAAGACAACTTAGATTAAGGCCATCAGTTTTACTCCGTACTACAACAAACATGGCTAAACCAATAAACTTTTCGAAATCACCAAAATAAAGCCATGAATTTTGATTTAAAGCTTTCGTGACTGCAGGGATTCATCTTCTTGGTTCTTTCGGTAAAGTCACGTAGAAGGGAAGTAATAAAATAATAAAAAATAATCAAAATAAAACATAATAAAATTATTCTCACGACGTTTCGGCCACAACGCAAGCAGCCGTCCTCAGGTGAAGCGCATCGTCAGTAGTGACCAGGTCCGTCGAGGCGACTCTGTCGCCTCGACGGACCTGGTTTTCACCTGAGGACGGCTGCTTGCGTTGTGGCCGAAACGTCGTGAGAATAATTTTATTATGTTTTATTTTTATTATTTTTTATTATTTTATTACTTCCCTTCTACGTGACTTTACCGAAAGAACCAAGAAGATAAAGCCATGAAAGCAATGAAACAGTGATCATAGGAACTGTGACGGAATTTTCACAATAAATTACATAAACAACATGTACTACCAAAACCCATCTACATGAGTCACTCCACAACAGCAGGTAGCATCAATCGGAGTATCCAAATTTTTCAATGCACCTTTAAGATCAGCACACTAAATCAAAACACAGGTCATACTTTGCAGCGATCATCCGGAGCGAAACATTTTATTTTAGGCCACTGAATAGCACTGGCAGCTAGGGGTGTACAACTCTTCTAGAGCAGTTTTGAGTGAAGATCTCATAGGTAGTGACTCAAGTTGCAATTTATTGGCAAGAGCATTCCAGACCCTGGGGGCATCAATAGCAAAGGCCCTTCCTCCAGTTGTTGTGAAACTTCCTCCCCGCGGGCGCGTGGAAGGTTGCAACATCCCGGTCTCGGCAGAAGAAGTCAGTAAACATTGGCAGTCCACTACCAATGAGCCACCCGTTTCTCGATCTGTACTTGGGGAGAAGAGTGTTGGGTCCTGTTTCGCTTTCACTTGCATACACACTCATCGTTAATTAATAATACTTCTTATTCTTTTCGATTTAAAGCTTTCGTGACTGCAGGGATTCATCTTCTTGGTTCTTTCGGTAAAGTCACGTAGAAGGAAATAATAAAATAATATAAATAGAACATCAAATATGACGTCACAAAGCTCTGCCCCCCCCCCAAAAAAAAACATGCTTCAAATCGCTTTAAACTATTGTCATTGTAGTGCGTATTTAATGTGGCGCTGCACTCTGATGTTGTAGGAGAAAACATTTTTTAAAAGTTTATTTAATTAAGTAGAACGTGTTGTCTATATTTATTTAAAGTTGCGCATTTTGATGTGACGTCACATTTCTCAACCCCCCCCCTCGTCACACATCGTCACACATGTCTGACCCCCCCCCACCCCCCTAGGTGCGTGACGTCATTTATGGACGGCTCCCTCTCCACAACGACAATACACGATTGCTGTGTGTGCTGCAGCCACATTGTACATCCCTATAGACATGACGTCATCACGCGGTGGTTTTTAAAAACCGATTACGTCACCGACCTTGCCGCGTCGCGACTTGAAAATGTACGCGCGCGGTGACGTCATCCCGCACAGCATATCGCGGTGACATCACCCTCCGCACACACGGGGGTAACATCATACCACACACATAGACGCGCGGTGACGTCATCACGCACACGCGGGGGGGGGGCGTGGTGACGTCATCCCGCAAAAACGAACGAGCATCGATCGACATCACGCTCCGCACACGCGGTGACGTCATCCCACACACGGAAACACGCGGTGACGTCATCGCGCGCGTGCGCCGACGACGTCATTCCTGCGTACGACCGCGCTTGGTGAACGTCGTTACCTCACACGCGGGGGGGCGGGGTGCGGGGGCGCGGTGACGTCATCCCGCGCAAACCAACGCGCGGTGACAGCGCGCGCGTGCGGCGTTGACGTCATCCCGCGCAAACCAACGCGCGGTCACAGCGCGCGCGTGCGGCGGTGACGTCATCCCGCAAACCAACGCGCGGTCACAGCGCGCGCGTGCGGCGGTGACGTCATCCCGCAAACCAACGCGCGGTCACAGCGCGCGCGTGCGGCGTTGACGTCATCCCGCGCAAACCAACGCGCGGTCACAGCGCGCGCGTGCGGCGGTGACGTCATCCCGCAAACCAACGCGCGGTCACAGCGCGCGCGTGCGGCGGTGACGTCATACCCGCACCTCGCCGACAGAGACGAGGTGGGGGGGAGAGGAGCGAGCGAGAGGGGTCAAAGGTCGCGCCTTCTCTGCCGGAGCCCATGATCCCCATATGCCCGCTTGTGTCTGTCACTTACGGTCAGTGCTCGCCCCCCATCTCGAACTCGCAGCAGCTCGGGACCCCCCCCGCCACGCGTGCGCTCGGCTGTCGCCGCGACGCCTCGGTCGGTCGGGCGGTCGGGCGATCGGTCGGGTTGGTTGGGTGGGTGGGGAGAGTAGTCCATCATCGTTGCGCGATGGCGCATTGATTTGTGACGAAGAGTTTCGCTCGTGTGCCCGCTGCCCTGCTGCTGCTGCTGCCCCTGCTGCTGCCTCTGCTGCTGCCTCTGCTGCTGATGATGATGCTGCTGCTGCTGCCGCCGTGGGTTGTTGTGTGCGTGGTGCAGTGTCTGGCCGGCTCGGGGAAGAGGCGAAAATGGCGGCCAGCAATTACTTCGGCTTCACGCACGGCGCTCCGCAGTACAGGTGACGAGACAACACGCACGCACTCACTCACACTGGAGAGAGAGCGTGTGGTGTGCGTGTGTGTGGGGAGAGGGTGGTGGTGGTGGTGATTGTCGCGACAAGAGGGGGGTGGGGTGGGGTGCCGCGTCACGGTGGTGGGATGCTGGTTGGGGAGGCCGCGCGCTATGCTGAAGGTGCGAGACGCGAGATGCCGCGGCTCTGTGTGTGTGGTTGTTGTTGTGGTGGTGGTGGTTGTTGTGGTGGTGGTGGTTGTGGTGATGGTTGTTGTGGTGGTTGTAGAGACGGAGAGAGAGACGAGTTCGTTGACACATTCGTTCTAATCGCTTTGGTCAATCGACGGTCCGCTCATGCACACACGTTCACCTACCAAATGTGCCTACCTACTCACTCACTCGCCCACCACCACCAAATCACCGACCTAATTCGCCCATCATTCATCTGCACATCTACTCACCTACCCACTCGCCCACCCACTCGCCCACCACCACCAGATCACCGTCCTAACTCGCCTACCTCATTCGCCCACCTCATTCGCCCATCATTCATCTGCACATTTACTCACCTACCAAATCACCTACCTGACCCCACTTGTTCACATTCTTGATCGGCTAACTACTCAGCCTTCCATTCATCCTTACACCCATCTACTCACGCACTCGCCCACCACCACCAAATCACCGACCTAACTCGCCAAACTCATTCGCCCATCATTCATCTGCATATTTACTCACCTACCAAATCACCTACCCGACCCACTCGTTCACATTCTTGATCGGCTAACTACTCATCCTTCCATTCATCCACACACTCATCGACTCACCTACCCACTCGCCCACCAAAATCAACTATCCTGTCGCCAATCCGCTCACCCACTGACCCGTTCATTCACACACACGTTCACGAATCTACGACGTTGCCTGGCTAAAGCATGTATAAAGCTCTTTTAACAGTCATACTTATTAAAGCACAGACATCTACTGACCTACATACTACACATCCATTCACCATGCAAATCATTTGCCTACCCACCATTTCCTGGATAAACTCACATATTCCTACCTTCATTCCTGGAATCACCAAATCCATCACCTAACCACAATTCTCCCATCCACCCAACCGGTCCACCTTCCAAACTCGCCCATCCACGTACACATTCACGCGACCAGCCACTCGTCTTAACTGATCTTCTAGCTTACTCGTTGACATGACCAGTTTGCACATTCACTCTACCATGAACTCGCCTACGCATTCACTCATCCATTTGCTCGTTTTTAACCACTCATCTATTCAACCATCCACCCATCCTCTCACCTACACAGTCGTATCTGCTGTGCATTCACTCGCCTAACCACCAACCATAGCATATACTGTGTACCCATCCACTCATCCCACCCTGACGCTCATCACTCTGCCACCTCGCTCACCGACGGGTTTGTTCGCTCGCCCAACCCAAGCGGTACACGAACTCGGCCACTAAACCGCTCATCATGTGGGTTCGCTCCCACTCGCCCATCATCCACCGTGTAACTGCATAACCGCCTCCATTCACCGAGCCATCAGATCCGCTTGTTGTTGTTGTTCGGAGTAGGGGGCCCCATTGTGCCTAGGCTCATATTGCCACAGGGTATATTAACTGGCGTGTCGCCGATGTTGACAGTGACAGTAAATTGTGTGACCAACGATTGCTGGTAGCAGGCGTCGTATGAATCGCGAACAAATTATCGGTGGCCAAAAACTCTCCTCCTACACCCCATTACGTTGCTTTTATTTTATTTTTGTTTCAAATCAACATCGATTTTCTGTGAATGTTTTTAATAATCATCGTCCGCTTCTTTGACCTTCACGGCAAATTATCTGTTGGTCGGACGTTGTGTTCCCTTTCACGCAAACTCTGTAATTGATTGCAGTCTGATTTGTGTTGTTGTTGTGGCTGTCGGTTGTTTTTTAGAAACCCGGCGATTCAGTGCAGCAATTCAATGATTGCTGCAAAAATTGCTTTGAGCTGCCACTGAAAATCCTGCCCACTGGCACCAAAAGCTTCACAACTGAGTTTAAGTAAAATGTTGTTAATGATGTTGATTTCCTGTTGGAAAGTTTTTTTTTTTAACAAATAAGGATCCGCAACTGTGAAAGGTATTTTTCTCGTCTAGAAAAGAGGGACCCATGCTTTCTCATACTTCATACTTTGTGCCTGTTATATTAGGCACGGTCATGTGTGGCGGTTGGTAAATTGCACGATGGACTTGAGCTTGATTCCCGGTCACGGCTATAACGTCACTGGCAATGAAGCCGGTGAGGAATCATCCCCAGTGGTGATCTTGTATCGGGCTCAAATTCCAAATGGCTCGCATGGCAGAGCCTAAACAGACTGAGAGTGGGTTTCGGCAGATGCAACTCTCATTAAATCGTGGGGCTTCTGCGCAAACCAAATAATGTGCTCGTAAGGAGAAGCAAACCGTGGATCACCTCGTGAGATGCCCTGCAGCGCCACGATGCACTCCTCAAGATTTGCCAATGACAACACCAGAAGCGGTGGCCTGTGCAGAATATTAGTAAAAGACCCATATAGGTTGGACAGGAGACGCGACAAAGAAGAAGATGTCTGGCAAGTGATAGCGGAACCATTTTTGGTGTTGCCCTTGACCAGCCCGAACTGACCCGCTGGTGCAGTATGGTCAGACCACCCCCATTCAGTACGGTCAAACAAACCCCTATTCATCCAGCACGGGAATGGCCGCCCTAAATAAATTATTAGTAATCGCCGTTTAGCGTCGAGTATTGCGCGCAACTGTCGCATAGTGAAGTCAAATTCACACCACTGATGCCGATGGTGATCTCAACAAAAATAATGGCTTGGTGCTCACTGGAACATTCCCATATTTGGAAAATTCTCCCACATAAAAAAACAATGTGTGCACCATCAAGCTGTTTTTATATGACTTTACAATTGATATAATTTTCTAACATTTAATGTTAATACAACTTTTAAGAGTAGTGCTTCAGCCAATCTGTATGTATACGTAAAATATGTAACACTTAATGGCATACTTAATTATTAATGGCATTGATGTTTGTGACTCAAACCATCAAACCCTTCAGGGTCAATACATCCTAAACCACTCTGGGGATATTGCCGGTGGCTGCGATGTGCAGAAACTGACCCCTGTCATAGGAACGTGGAAATCCCACCACTGATTCTGGGCCACCAATAGAGATAAGCGCTCGCTGCCTTGTGAGCCATTGAGCACGGGGCCACGCTGACTTTTTCTTTGTGGCTTTTTGAAACGAACGCAAAGCGTTTGGTCGCGTGAGGACAAAAGAAAAGTGGGCGAGGTGGCCCACACCCATGATAAGTGGCCATTTGTTAAAAATAGCTTTGTAGCTCATCAGATTCCTCCAGTAGAAATTAATATTCTGATTCTAGAGGGACAGAGGTTGGTGAATCCCACAGTTTTGTGAGGCTCCCAAAAGCTTGTGGGCTACGAGGTGGCCGGTAGATAGCAGCACAACAAGTGTGTTTCCCCCGATTCCACGCGTGATTCTTCAAGGGTTGTCCCCTGATATGAGTTTTTTTTCCCTTTCGCGGTAAAGCCGAACACTCGTCCTAAACGAATTGGCCAGATATTAGCAGGACCTGACCAGAAAAAGAGAGTCTTGAGACTTGGTGAGGGTTTCCTCTGTAAATGAATGACACCATTTGATAGGGAAAGCAATGATTTTCCCTTCTCACGATTCTATAAATTGTCATGATTCAGGTTCACGATTTCGTTTTGGTAATCGGTTGTTGGGGAAGGTGAAGATGCAGCCCTGCATTTACGTTCTCACACAACTTCTGGCCACAGTGTCTCCACTAGAGGGAGCTTTTGAGAACCACTCAATAGTATTTGGCGTACTCTTCCATGCTGCTCAGATTTCTCGAAAGCGGTGGGGATCTTTTGTATGGCCAATGAAGAACAACTATATTCAGTTATCAGTGAATTAGCCATTCAATTGCTTTGAGAGTTGGTGAGTTTCAGATACACCCACCCACTCTTGCTTGAAAATGTATTTTGAGCGCAGTGTGAAGTTGCATGGGCTATGGTGTGGAGTTCTTAGCCACAATTGCACACAGGAGCAAGTCTTTGAATTTCCGCTTGTGCGTTAGGTATCCGCATCTTCCGTGGTTTGTGCAGATCCTGTTAACCGCTGTCCATTGTTTCCGTGGAAGGTGGAAGCCAGGCATTGTGTGGTGGTGGGGTCGTTGATCAGCTGTATGTCGTGAAAGCCAGACAGTGTGGTGGTGTTTGGGTCGCTGATGAGCTTAGTGTTGTGGAAGCCAGGCAGTGGGTGGTGGGATCGCTGATCAGATGTTTGGTCCACGACATTTCGATGCTAAAACGCCCGAGTTCTGGACCTCAGCCATGGATGCGGGATGTTGTAGGAATCGTCGTTGATCGGCAGGTTTGGGTCGACTTCCGATCGGTGCAGTTCATGGAGGAGTGTTGCAGCGTCGTGGCACCTACCCGGTGGTGCGATATTTGAGAGTACAGGGAAGCCGAGGCACTGGTGTAGATGTTCAAGTTCCAGTGATGGTCCACGCGGCAATGTTCAGTTGGGTGTCACTGGGCCGACAGTTGCGGCTTTTTGTCAGAACTGGGGCAGCAGTTCTGTGCGGTTGAGTACGCCGCAAGGCATTGGCCAATGTCCGAAGCGCAAATCCATCTACCCCCCAGCTTGTACTGGCCGGTGTGTGAATGAGGTTCACCCTCGGTTTTGCCAGTGACCTTTTTTAGCCGGTCATTAAAAGCCAGCGTGCCGTCAAGTGTCTCGCCAAGATCAGTCCGGTTCGGGTCTCGTCACACCTGTTCCCCCCGCGGCATTGAGTGTGACTTTGGCACTGCTGCGACGACGATCGAATTCCTTGGGTTCGGTGTCGCTCGCCGCTTCCGGAAGTTGCTCCGCCGTTGACTTTGATTGAGGTCGGCGCGAGGAGTGGCCTCCGCTGCCCCGAGGCTGCGGGCCCCTTGTAGCCGGAGCCAGGCCGTCCGCGTACAGGGACTTGCGGGACGATGGCTCGTGTGTAGACGCTGAACATCATCATCCTCGAGCGCAGACCCCCTGGTGAAGCATGTTATTCGGGGTGCGGGGTGTGCGCTGACTTTCTCGCCAAGGTAGGCACGCGACATTCACTCGCTCACCATTGTACAGATCAGCCCGCAGTGTTCAGGCACAAACGGTAGGATTGTGGCCAGCTTCACCATGAGACCTTGCTTCTAAATCTTATTGTTGGTCGAAGACAGGTGGATGAAAGCGGCGCTGGGCCTGACTTCGCTTTCGAATCCGGCATCGATGTTTCGTTGTAAAAGCCGGGATTTCAGTCACTGCAGCTTCTTTGGGGCCTGAACCTAGCTTGTTGGGAGGATGGCTTCAATGTTGGGGCCGATTCTTCCCAGGATCAGGCACCGCTTTATACTGCTGGGTGGATAGAGGTTGGTGGATTTAAGAAACTTCCAACCGCCCGCACCCAGAGAACGAATCGAACCACCGACCTCTGCGTCGCAAGTCCCCAGCCGACGTTAAAGACCACAACGATGTCGTTTGTAACAAATGGTTACGCCGTGCAAACGCCGATCGTTAAACGCCTGCATTACGCGTGCCGGTGTCTCTTTACGCGGCTCCGCAGCCAGCAGCCGACGGCCGTGGCCTATTCCCACCCGTCCACGGCCGTTAGCTACACCATGCCGCAGGCGCCCACCGTCTACGCCCCGGCCGCTGCCGCCGCCGCTGCCGCCGCCCCGGCTGCCGCGGCGGCGGCAGCGGCCGCGGCCGCCGCTCGCGCCGCCCCCACCGTGGCAGCGTCGCCGGCATACGGCGCCTACGCCGCCGCCGCCGCTGCCGCTGCCGCAGCAAGCCACGGCGCCGACTACGGGTACGCACAGCGCCAGCAGGAAGCTCCGCCGCCCCCGCCGCCGCCCACCACCACGCAGAACTACCAGGTACTGCGCCTGCCTTGTGCGCTCGTACCACCGCCTGTGGCTGGCTGTCGCCTCTCCGTCTCCCTGCCTCTCCCGTTCTTCCCCATCTCTTCGCTGTCTTCCTTACATCTCACCATCCCCTCCACTCTCCCCATAAACCTCCTTTCCATCTCCCAATCTCCTTGCATGTCTTTCTGTTTCCTACGTCTCCTCGCCTCCCCCCCCCCATAGCCCCCACTTCTCCAGCTCAAATGCCATGTGCCTGCTCGTCTGGTATTGTGAGCGCCTGAATGTGTCTGGATTTGTGAATTCTATAGGTTAAGAGGCTCCCCACAAAGACTGCGACCCATTCATCATCATTATTGACGATTCACAACTAAGGTTAACATCCTCAATGCATTGGCTCTGTCTGACTGTCCGACTGTCCGAAGATTGGGGTCATGATAACTCTCACGAAGGTTGACCTCGTGTAGATCAGGGGGCGATTGCAAAGTTGCGTGTGTTTTTTTTTTATGAAGAACTTACCTCGCGGACGACCGGGTTACATTCGCCAAAGGGGTTGGCTAAAATGTAGCAATATATTCCACAGCTAATTCCGCAGGCCATGGCTGCCGTCATCGGCCATAGGAGGAACCACATGCATGATGTCACACACCTCCCTTTGCCTTGGGAGATGCAAGGACCCGGGCAGGGAAACCAGGTGAGGCAGGCCTGGTTTGCGTGCGTCGGAGGGGGCGGCGAGGGGTGATGACCAGAAGGCCTCAACCGCATTTGTGTTCAAAATTAATGAATTATTATTCCTCCCCTAACCCTTGACCCAAGGAGACCTACACCTATGTGCGCTCGTCGGCTGGGGTCGTCGGATATGACAAGCAATACTACCCACAGCCGGCCGTGTCTCAGCCGCAGCACACCGGCGCCGAGACGTACTATCAGAGCGGTGAGTCGCCGGCTGACGCGGCCAAACGTCCCGGGGTCGGCCGGGACGTACGTGTGTTGAACTTCTTTCGCACCGTACGTAGCCAACCGTGCTAATGGGAGGTGGTGGACAGTCCCGCATACGCTGCACAAACTATGACAGTAAATGCGGATACCTGATGCACAACATGGAATATTAAAAACTCTCCAGTAGTAATGTGTGTGACCGTGGTCATCCAGAACAGACCATATAACGACGCAATGCCCCGATCCACAAATACGAAGGAGACATCACGGCGATGATGCACTACTCCGCTGCTCCTGACGCGGTTATCTGGCTTGACCACCTGAATGTGACATGGCAGTTGTTGCTCTGCGTCTACATCAGCAGCCACACGACGGTGAAGAAGACCGTTATAAAAGATCAAATAAGTTGAACCGCTTAGAAACAGCGTCCGGTTATGCCTCTACGGTGATTCGAGTAAGGATTGATCGCGTTGGGATCTACGGATGAAATGCGCCTTACAAATATAAACGACTGCCATCGTCATCGTCATTATCTTCATTATCTTCTTGGTTCTTTCGGTAAAGTCACGTAAAAGGGAAGTAATAAAATAATAAAAATAAAATTACTTCCCTTTTACGTGACTTTACCGAAAGAACCAAGAAGAAATCGAAATTTATCTTCATTATCTTCTCGTTTCTCCGCTTCGTTGTTTCCGCAGTGATCCCGCCGATCACGTCGAGCCTGTCCGTGTCGGCGGCGCAGAAGGTCGGCTTCAGCCAGGCGGCGCCGCAGTTCACGCAGACGCAGCAGCCGCGCCAGGTGACGGCCATCAAGCAGGCGACGCCGAGCACGGCGACGAGCACCTACACCGTGTACCCCGTGAGCTCCGCCGTGCAGCCCGTGGTGGCGGCGGCGCCCGCCGTGGTGCCCTCCTACACGCAGAGCACCAGCTACAGCACCACGCCCGTCACCTACACGGGTACGCCGCACCCGGGATTGCACGCACACGTGTGTGTGTGTGGGATGCGCGTGCGTGGGGCGCGTTTCAGAGGTCGCAAACGGGTTTTGATTCCTTACCCGTACCCGTACCCGGCCGCACCAGGGTCGCAAACGGGTACCCGTTCCCTACCCGTACCCTACCCGAAATGAGTGACAAACGGTGACTCACCAGTGACTCACGGCCTACCCGTACCCGGCCGCACCAGGGTCGCAACCGGCTACCCGTACCCGTGCCTGGCCTGGTACGGGTAGCCGGGTATCGGGTAGGGTACGGGTATCGGGTACCCGGTTGCGACCTCTGGCGCGTTTGCGTGTCTGAACGAGCTACGGCACCGCGCCCTACCCTTGCGTTTGTGAGTAAGCCACGGCATCCGTGACGTGAATGTGTGTGTGTGTCTGTCCCGTGACCTGCAGCCAGCAGGCGTTCGACACTCCGCGTGGCTTTAAAGTGTACATGGCCTGGCACAAGCGCCATGGTGACGTCACTGCCACTTAGTAGCAATTGGCTGCTGTTGTTGTTGGGGGTGGTGGTGCAGTAGTTGGTGCACTGCATTACGAACCTGGCAAACCGTGTTTGCTTCTCGTTGATGGCCAAAAACAGTGGCTTCCCCTCTGTCAACTCAGACTTAAATGAATGCCTGGTGTCGTGTGTGAAACATCGCCACGAGGGAGACAAAGACGGCCTAGTGCTGGTCACCCACCCCCTTGTGTCGTCGTGCCGGCCTTCATAGGCGCTCGCTACCAGCCCTTGCCACAGCAGTCCGTTAAAGGCTACGCGGGAGATCTTTCTCTATACACGCCCATCTGCGCTGTACGCGGCTCTGCCCTGACACGCGCGCGTGACTTGCGTGCGCGCGCTCGCAGGCGGCGCGTACTCGGGCTACGAGGCCGCGGTGTACTCGGCCGCCACCTCCTACTACCAGCAGCAGCAGCAGCAACAACAGCAGCAGCAGCAGCAGAAGCAGCACGTGTCCCCCTGGGGGGCCAGCGCCTTCAACAAGAGGCCGGCGTTCCAGGGCAAGCCGTCGCGGCCCAAGCTCTCGCCCAAGCAGCCGCAGCTGCACTACTGTGACGTCTGCAAGATCAGCTGTGCCGGGCCGCAGGTGATCCGGGCCGAGACGGTTTGCGCCGTGCGCCGGCGGTTCCTCTCCGTTTGGCCGTTTTCCTTTCTTAAGTCGACCCGGCGGCGCCATGAATCCGGTGACCCGGAGTTCGATTCCTAGCCACGGCTAACGCCAGCGGTGATTGCTATCTAAACCGGTCTCAGCTCTCCACCCACCCACCCTGCCCTTGACCGTCGCGTACGTGCACACCAGCGTGGTCACACAACGCACGTAATTGACGTGACGTGGGGAGGCCTTCATCCAGCGGTGGATAGAGCTGTAATTCTGTAATTCTTTGTTTAAAGCATTTGTATATATATGTCGCTTGCTAAATTACCTCCGCTGCAGCCCAGGACTCATTGCGTTTCAACCCATCTCGACCAATCCAACGCTGTGCTGCAGTAGAGCCTAGGGGGAACTCCAGCGGGAGCTGTCCCTGCTTGGCACAAGGTGTACGCAGCGCTCTTCTCCCGTCCAACCCTTTGTAGAGGCCACTGGGTCCGTGAGCTTCTAACAGCAGCAGCCGCCACTTTCCCCATTTTACACGCTTTTATTGAACTCACTCTGTCTGTTGTTGTTGTTGTCGTATCCTCAAATCTTATAACTCTATTTTAACCCACTTCCCAATGTGCTATGGACTGCAAACTTGGTACACTTATGTCATACTGATGACAATACTATATTCTATAAAAAAAATAAAAGAAGTATTTTTAAACATAAATTTGTTATGTTATGTTTCCTGGAGTCGTGGAGTTCTGCCATTACGAGTAGGGTACATTTCATTAAAGCGTGTTTAAAAAAAAGTATTTTTAAATATTACTTATGCAATCGTCATCGTCATATCCCCTGCTGATATTTCCTCATCACTGCTCTCCTCTGGTGCCTCCTCCCGTTCATTAGTCCATGTTTTCTTGGTTCTTTCGGTAAAGTCACGTAGAAGGGAAGTAATAAAATAATAAAAATAAAACATAATAAAACAATTCTCACGACGTTTCGGCCACAACGCAAGCAGCCGTCCTCAGGTGAAAACCAGGTCCGTCGAGGCGACAGAGTCTGAATGAAACAGCACACGAGCTTGGAGCATATATATAAGCTGGGCGCATTGACAAAGGAATTTGCATATCAAAAGGAATTTAGCATATTTATGGGAAATGCAGGAATGTGATTAGTACTGCATATGCATGTGCATTATGCAGGATTAACAGCATCAAAGGGAGCTGCAGTTGCTGCTGCTGCAGTTTCTGCTGCTGCTGCAGTTGCTGCTGCTGCAGTTTCTGCTGCTGCTGCAGTTGCTGCTGCAGTTTCTGCTGCTGCTGCAGTTGCTGCTGCTGCTGCAGTTGCTGCTGCAGTTGCTGCTGCTGCTGTTACTGCTGCTGCTGCACTTGCTGCTGCTGCTGCAGTTGCTGCCTTATCCATTTTAATATAACACTATGTATTATTCTACCCACCCTAATGTGTATCACACTGCTATATGTTTACGACACCATACATTACTCTGCACACTGCACCATGCCAGTGAGTGCACCATGCCAGCAGTGTGCAGAGTAATGTATGGTGTCGTAATTGTATAGTAAACATATAGCAGTGTGATACACATTAGGGTGGGTAGAATAATACATAGTGTTATATTAAAATGGATAAGGCAGCAACTGCAGCAGCAGCAGCAAGTGCAGCAGCAGCAGTAACAGCAGCAGCAGCAGCAACTGCAGCAGCAGCAGCAACTGCAGCAGCAGCAGCAACTGCAGCAGCAACTGCAGCAGCAGCAGTAACTGCAGCTCCCTTTGATGCTGTTAATCTTGCATAATGCACATGCATATGCAGTACTAATCACATTCCTGCATTTCCCATAAATATGCTAAATTCCTTTTGATATGCAAATTCCTTTGTCAATGCGCCCAGCTTATATATATGCTCCAAGCTCGTGTGCTGTTTCATTCAGACTCTGTCGCCTCGACGGACCTGGTTTTCACCTGAGGACGGCTGCTTGCGTTGTGGCCGAAACGTCGTGAGAATTGTTTTATGTTTTATTTTTATTATTTTATTACTTCCCTTCTACGTGACTTTACCGAAAGAACCAAGAAGATGAATCCCTGCAGTCACGAAAGCTTTATATCGAAAAATAGTCCATGTTTGTCAAGGACACCCTCTGCCTGCCTCTTCCGCTAGCGCTGCCATGGCCGTTTGGTGCCATTCTTCGTACACCGTCGCGGTTACTTCACTCCCGTCTTGTTTTTGTTCGCTCCATCTTCAAGTTCCCCCCCAGTGTCTTCATCGCTCATTCCTTCTCACGTCCATTTCTGCCGAGCGACGCACAGCACCGGGCCTGCGAGGCTGGCTCTCGGTTGCATTCCCCCTCTCTCGCTCTCTCTCGCTCTCTTGCCCTCCTCCCGACAGACGTACCGCGAGCACCTGGAAGGGCAGAAGCACAAGAAGAAGGAGGCGGCCGCCAAGGCGGGCACGGCGACCACCACGACGGCGGGCCGCGCCACCCAGCATCAGCTGCGCTGCGAGCTGTGCGACGTCACGTGCACCGGAGCCGACGCCTACGCAGCGCACATCCGCGGTGCCAAGCACCAGAAGGTGCGGGAAGCCTGCCGATTGGTCCGTGGGGAAATGTTATGAGGCCGTGAAGGTTTCCCGAAGGTGTTGTTCTTTGTGTAGTCGATTTCCTTATTCGGGCACCTTACTAACCACTGTAGTAAGACGATCGCACTAAGCATGGTCTTTTAACAATAAAACTCTTTTATGATAAAAATGAAAAACGCCGACAGCCACGAAGCACGGCCTCCGACTCACGCTGTCCCAAAAATGGCGGGAAGAGAAAATGGCTCCGTCCCTCTTAACGTGACGGCAAAATATAAGTTGCCTGCATTTGTGAGTTGCGGGCGTTGCGCGTGACCTAATGGCGGAGGTGCTCGCGTGCGCGTTAAGGTGATATTACACTTAAACTAACTATGTTTTACACCAGGTTGTCTTCGCACGAAGTTTGCACGCTCATTTCCCCCATCCCCGCGCCGCGACGATGAGCCTCGCGGTGACCCATGACCAAGATTCTGACCAAAGCTTCCGCGCTTGAGCCGTGATCTCTCTCCTCCCCAACACCCCCTTGCGCGCCAGGTCGTGAAGCTACACACTAAGCTCGGCATACCCATCCCGGAGCCCGCTCAGGACAGCCAGCCCGCCGCCACCGCCACCGCCACGGCGGGGGCCAAGGCGGTTTCCGCCACGGCCAGCGGTGTCGCGGCCGCGACGGCGGCGGCGGCTAAGGGAACGCCGGCGTCCACGCCGGCCGCTGCCACCGCCGCTGTCGGCGCCGCCGCTGCCGCCGCTGCGTCTGTCGCGTCGCCAGCAGCTAAAGTGTTGCCCAAGAAAGTGGCGACCCCCAAGATCACGTTTGTCGGCAAGTGTCTCGTGCGTGTGTGTTGTGTGGGGGCAAGTCGTTGAGCGGTCCCTTGTGTTGGTGGTTATAACGCTGGGACGTTGAAAGAACCGCGCTGCGACTTCGGAAACTTCTCCAGCGCGGTGGAAATTCCACGGGACGATGTCACCGAAAGTTTTCTAGAAATCCATAATAGAGGTTTTTTGTGGTTAGATCGCCACCACCCGACACAGCCAACGAGTAAGGGTTGTCACGTAGACGGAACGTGCCATTCGTTACGAGTACATTCATAATAGGTTTTTGGTCAGATTACGTTATTTATAAATGTGTCGTAACCCTCCACCACCCGACACGGCCAATCAGTAAAAAATGTGTCACGTTTTTCAAAGGACAAAATAATTCACTTCTTTGGCCCACCGGTGTGCTGAAGAGAGAATCAACAGCATTTAAAAAAAATTGAGTACGACGTTTCGCTGATAATTACAATCAGCTTTATCGGGCAAGAATGGTGAAGCTCTCCTGTTGCTTCCGGTCTTAAATAGAGCAGCATCAGGGTGACGTCATCATTTAATTCAATTCAATCTGGTGCAGTGATTCGAGGCAAAGAATGGGAGGGTATTGTACAAGTACAGCACTAACCGGTGTGTTGGAGGGCCAAGCCACAACATTTACAATCCGAGTACGACGTTTCGACCAGTAATTACAATTAGCCTCATTAGCCAGATTTGTGGAAAAATCCTATTTCCTACCTTAAATAGAGGGGTCGATGTTACGGCATCACTTGTGAGCACTTCCTGTGTGAAGTGGGGTGGGGGGGATTAATGAATGCATAGAAATACAATTGGTATCCATTGGCGGTTGGGTTATTTATAAGGTAATCAACGTATATTATGCATGGACATTATGCATGCACATTGAACTTGTGAATCGTGTCAATTGTGTCGACTAAAATAGCTGAATTGGCAAGTTCTGTTTACGTGACAAACCTTGCCGATTGGCCGTGTCGGGTGGTGGTGGGTTTAACGGCACATTTAGATTTTTACGCAATCTAACCCAAAGCAACTTGTATCATGGATGATATTGGTCGTGAAAGCGTATGTGTTAAACCGTTCTCTAGAAAGTAACTTTTGTCTCCTTTGCTAACTGCATTACGCTTTGGAAAACCCCGTGGATATAGCCATTCTGCTTCCGTAGGAATGTGGAATTTCTGCCGTTGACTTGGTAGCCGCCGATAGGGATCTGCGTTGTTCCAACGCTTGTTTCGCTATTGGGGGAAGCCGCGAGTCGCTGGATGATGGTCCTCAAATCGTTCGGATCACGGGGGTTATTTGCCATGATAGAGTTGTTTTTTGGGTTGGAGCATTCAAATATAAATGTGTCATTAACCCTCCATCAGGTGAATACAGCCAATTACTAAGGTTTGTCGTGTAAACGAAATATAGAAATTGGTTACTACTTCAGCACACCGGCCGTGTGTTGGAGAGTAAACCCACACACATTTACAATTTGAGTACCCGTGACATTTCGCTGGCGATTACAACAACAACCAGCTTCATCGGACGATATGCCAGAATTGCGAGGGTCATATGTGGCCATGCTCCATCACGTATGAAGGCGGGGAGCGTAGACTTGGGAGCACGACAACGGACTTTGCTGCACCGCTCTCCGCTGACATTGTACGTACACATACGTACGTTATGTTCAACTTCTTTCGCACCACTGTACGTAGCCAACCGTGCTAATCGGAGGTGCGCGTGAAGGACAACAAACTTTAAAACAGGAAAAGCAGCTCTAAAGAATTGTCTTTTAAAATTGACGCAGCCTCACAACCTAGGACGTAGCCAGATCTGACGCCAACGATGCCGCCGACGATGACGCCGACGATGTGGTGGGGGGGGTCCGCGGCATGGCGCGCGGGGCAGGTGGCAGCAAGCTGCAGACGACCGGCGGCAAGATGGAGGAGGTGAAGGTGGCGGAGTTGAAGGCGGCGGAGCAGCCCATCGTGTGCCAGGGCGAGGAGGCCGTTGAGTCGTCGCCCGTGCAGGACGTGCTGCCCGTCGGATACGACTACGTGGAGGAGGTGGGCACAGGCGCTGGCAAATGCCGCGCGTGTGTGCACGCACGTAGCCTTCGTGTTGCGTAGCCTTCGTGTACGTACGTACGTGAGTATGTCGAGCGTGTAGCCAAGCGTACTCATCGGAGGTGTGCGGCAAATCACCGGAATGGGAAAAAATCCGGTGGACGAAATATAGTCCGGTCTTGTAAAGACCGGGTTTGTCTAGAGATGATGATTTAAAAGTTGCATAGCTCCAGTGGCTTTCTAATATAACGGAAGGAAGGGCGTTGCAGATGGCCACAGTAGCGCATCTGAAAACGCCACGCGGTGCAGGGACCAGCATCGTTGTTCAAAAATATACCGTCGGGGAAAGTGCTGTTAGCGACTAGCACCTATGAAGGCCGGTAATGCACACGAGGGGGTGAGTGGCCAGCCCCGAATCTGGCTGCCTTTGTTTCCGGAGTGGCGATGTTACACATTGCAACGGGTACTCATTTAAGGCTGAGTTGACCTAAGGGAGGCCCAGGACCAGTTCACATAATCGTCCACTGGTGTTGGCTGTGAGCAGGACTCCATCTTAGGTCGCCGGGTTCATAGCGTACACTCTAACCGCTACATTACCTGCAGTGTGGTGTTGGTGGGTTCTGGTTAAACACGTTCTTCTGCATGAGCCTACACAAGCCAGTCTGGTAGGCCCAGGAGGGGTTGGGGGGGGGGGAAATCAAAACGTTCACACAAAAAAACAACAAACGTAACCAAAGATAACTGGAAACGCCAATGGTCGCCCTACACAGGTCTGCAACGACGACGGGCGAGTAATCCGATTCTACTGCAAGCTGTGCGAGTGCAGCTTCAATGACCCCAACGCCAAGGAGATGCACCTCAAGGGGCGCCGCCACCGCCTGCAGTACAAGGTACGCTGGGGTGCTGGGTACGCTGGGGGCGCTGGGTACGCTGGGGTGCTGGGTACGCTGGGGGCACGGCCCAGGGCCGCTCCCCGTGGCTTTTCTCCCGTGTGTTTTTACGTCAAAAAAAGACGAAAGCCCAAAGTGTTTTAATACAGTTGATCATCTATTATCCGGCACGCGATTATCTGGCTTCCAGCGTTATCCGTCGGTCGATCCGGCGGAATCTGCAACACCGCTCCAAAGGCTGTACACCAGTCTGGTGATCAGTACAATGTGCGTGACAAAAAAGTAGCTGTGCTTGATTTCAGTGTAAAATATATACAGTGCATTGTACACCAATACAACAACTTATACAATTAAAATACTGAACGTATATACACATCATCCCGTGATGCAGAGTCTTGGATTGGAGTGGTAAATACGGTACAGTAAATACGGTAACTATTTGTATGTCTACGCCAATTTCATTTAGTTAACAAATTTAAAACACAAAAAACACTTAACAACGCCGAAAAACATAATGGCATACAAGAATGTGCAAAAATAATCTATTTTTAATAATGATGATGTAGCGATTATCCGGCATTTTTGAAAATCTGGCACCCCCACGAATCCGCCGGATAATCGATGATCGACTGCGTGACACTTTTATTGATTGGCTGTGTTGGGTGGAGGAGGGTTAGCGACACACATTTCTGGATGTTGCATGTACATATGTTGAACTTGTTCCACACCGTACGTAGCCAACCTCGCTAATCGGAGGTGCGAATTTCTACGCGACCTAACCCAAAAGAAACCAATTGTGAAACGTACTCCCCCAGTCCGTCGTGTTAATCTTATCTCTGGGAGGCGCACATGGTGTGATGAATCGATGCAAGCCTGCTACTGCTACGACTGCTGCATTGTATCATCATCATCGTTATCTCTCTTCCTCTCTTCCCGGCTTTCCTCCTCCGCCGGCCCTCCCTCCCTCGCCCGCCCCGCGCGCAGAAAAAAGTGAACCCGGAGCTGCAGGTGGAGGTGAAGCCGAGTATCCGCGCCCGCAAGTTCCAGGAGGAGCGCGTGCGCCTCTCCATGCAGAAGGAGGAGTACTGGCGGCGGCGCGAGGAGGACGAACGCTGGCGCCAGGAGATGAGGTGAGCGGCGACAGCGGCGACTGACTCACGGTCACATTTCAGTTTCCCCCATCTTAGCCCGCGCACAGCCCTGCCCGCTCACCTGCCCGTTCGCTCACCTGCCCGCTCGTTCACTCAGGCCGTGCGGCGCCATCTCTCGCAGGCGCTACGAGGAGGAGTTGTACTGGCGCCGCGTGGAGGAGGAGGGACCGTACTGGGAGGAGCGCTGGCGTTTTGACGGCTTCCCGCCAGGACCCATGCACCGCCCGGGTCCCCCCATGGCCCCCCCGGCTCCCATGGTGGGTGCTTGCGAATTGTATCGGGGGAAATCTTGATTTAGACTCTAAGAATTCGATGGGCTACGAAGCCCTTTTTCACGGATGTCCAGTAAAGCGAGGGTCGTCCCCGGTCTCGCGAGTTCTCGCGGCAATCCGTGAGACGGTTCGGTGCAGTTTATTTTGAAGTGCCCTACGAGCCGAGAAGCTCTTAAATCGACTTCCATCAACAAAAACAACACCACCGCTTCGACAAACGCAGCAAGTCACAGTCAAATAAATCAATAAGACACTGTAACAGATAAGAGGAATAAAAACAATTGAGAGCAAATCATGATGCGCTGCCGTTGTGCCGCGCCGCAGGCGATGCGCCGCCCGGACTCGCTGGAGGACCGGCAGGTGATGGGGAAGCACACGCTCATCTACCCGACGGAGGCCGAACTGTCCGCCGTGCAGAACATCGTCTCCCACGTGGAGCGCGCCCTCAAGCTCGTCTCCGTCCTCTACAGCCTCCCGGCCGCCACCGCCGCCACCGCCACGGCCGCTTCCACCGCGCAGGAGGGCGCGTGAGTTACGAGCGTGTACACCGCGTGTGAGCACCTTGGCGGCAGAGTCGCGAGTGGGAATCGACGCCAAGGGGGGGAGCCAAGCGCCACCTGACGTGTTGGCCGCCGCCGCGCAAGATGACGCGCGAGTGCAGCACTGCGCGGTGCGTCAGGCAGTCGCGATAACAACTTCTTCCCCTCTGCGTTATTCCCAACTGGGGGTGGCTTGGTTGTCGTTTTTGTGATCGGTGAAAGTCGTAGAATTGACGATCGAACAAAAGTTCTGTTTTAGTCGCGGTCGAACCAATTGGGCACGAGCGACAGTCCGTAACGGCGCGTTGCATTCGATCGCGGTCGGTCAGCGCTACCGTCTTGTCGCTTGTGAAACGCACGTTGGAACCCGTCGCCGCCTAATCCGTGCGCACGCTGCTCCCACGCCGTTGCCGGCTCCCTCTCCCCCCCGGCGCTTGCAGCGCGCCGCCGCCGGCCGACAAGTCGGACCCTCCGCCGCAGCGGCTGCTGAAGGGGGTGATGCGCGTCGGGCTGCTGGCCAAGGGGCTGCTCCTGCGCGGAGACCTCAGCGTGGAGCTGGTGCTGCTGTCCGTGCAGAAGCCGACCAAGTCGCTGCTGCTGCGCGTCGCCGACGCGCTGCCTGCGCAGCTCGCCGTGCGTACCCCATCGCCCCAACCCCCCTCCCTCCCTCTCTCTCTGCACACGCACGCAGCGACGCATGCAAGCACCCACGCACGACCGCCGTCGATTTGTGGGGTTGTGAGACGACGGCGAGAGGAGACACGAACAGTGACCGTTCTAGACTAAGACTCAAAGTCTAGAGCAGCGGTTCCTAAGCGTGTGAACACGGTGGTCCGTAAATTGTATTTGAGGGTTGACAGTGGCGCGCGCCGGGTCTAGAGCGATCGGGAACCGCAGGTGTGGTGAACAACATCCACACCTCACCGTGTGGAATTCACGTCGACTCTTTGGTCGGAGGAGTCGAGCGAGAGTCGATTCCAGATGCGAGTGGCGCGCGATGTTTGCCGCGTTGTTACGCATCTCTCTTTGATGTCGCGCTCTCGACCTCTGACCCCGGCCGCCCTCCGCCCCCACCCACCGTTCCCCGCACGACGCCGCCAGTTGGTGACGGATAAGAAATATGAGGTGACAAAGAAGGTGGACGAGGCGGCGGTGTTGATCAGGGCGGTGGGCGAGCCCAAGACCGAGGTGATCGTCCACCTAACGTCCCCGGACATGCGGGAGCTGCTCTCGGACACGCGGGACAAGGACGCAGGTCGGTGCCCCCGTCGGCGTCCCGTCCGTCGTCTGCGGTCTCGCAATCCGAGCAGAGTTGATCCTGGTCCTCGCTCGCTCGCTCGAAAAGACTGTCTGGGAATAGCCCCCGATGCTGTAGGCCGTGGGATGTGTGAGGCGGCCAAGAGATGGGAGCGCAGTTATCGATAATTATCGAATCATCCTCATTAGCGGCGTGGGTTTTTTGCACAAAGCCAAACGCTCATTACTGCAATTGGCCAAACATTCCAAGGCAGCAGGGACCCTAACTGACAAAGTGAAAACGCCTGGATGTTGAATGCAGGCGTGTTGCCATGTAATCTCGCCAACTGCCACACAGGCAATTCCGTGACAGCCCTGGCTCCGAGTGTGCGTGCGCGTGTGTGTGTGTGATCGCGTGTGGTTCGCGCCACTGTGCGACAATTGCCGGTCATGGCTAACATCGGTGGTCATTTTTGGAACCTGTCCTGGGCCTTTCGCCTAAGTTGACACAGCCTTGAATGAGTACCCGGTGCGCTGTTTAAATATCGCCACTGGGAAGACAAAGGCGGCCGGGCCCGCGGTGCTGGCTTAAAAGCACCCATTGTCGTGCGCCGTGCCGGCCTTCATAGGTGCTCTCTAAGAACACTTGCCCCAACGACCTGCGTAGGCTTTACGGGTTATCTATGCGTCTCTGTGCGTGTGTGTGTGTGCATGTCCGCGCCTGTGTGTGTGTACGTGCGGAAGGTCCGGGTGTGACGTTACTTGCCTGCGTAGGAGTGGGCCGCCGTGGCTGTGAATGGTACATGGCGGCCCGCTTCTCCGCACACGTTCGTTCTAGCGGGAGGGTTTGTTTTCTCCGAAATCTCCCCCCACCTCCTCCCTTCCCATCACCCCCCCTCCCCTTCACACAACAACCCCCCCCCCTTCCCCATCCATCTGGTCGATCCACTTTGATGAATCTGTGTTCAGCTTGCAGGTGACCAATCAGGAGGCTCCTTGCTGCAGACCGCTCCGATTGGCCGCCGCTGCTGCTGCACTGTGGAGGATTTTTGACCAATCAATCACGAGTTTCCACAAGGCGTTACTGCCACTATTGAGCCCCCGTGCCAGGGAGGGCGAGTCTGTGCCGTGGGATGGTTTCCTTGGGCCTCTGGACAGTGACAGTGACGGACCGACTCCACCATGAACCATAGACCCAGACTGACGCACCCGCCTCTGACGGCCTCTCTAGAGCAGCGCTTCTCAACTCGTGGGCCCCCCGGGTGGGCCCCCCACTCCTCTCCTCCCCCCGCCCCACAAGGCCGTGGGAAGTGGTCAACAGAACGGTTGCAGAGATGCTCCGATCTCTTTCACAAAATGTTACGTATTTTGCTACCCATTACGCAGCTGATTTAGTTGACTGAAGAGGATGCAAGTTTATTAGCTTTTATTCCAATTATTTGGTGATGTGTAGCATTATTGATGGATTTGCTGAGGTCTTTTGTTCATAATTTGTACAGCTTTCCCATGAACACTTTATGGCACTCTTAGGGTAGTTTTAATTTGGGGAAAATATCTCATTGTTGCATGGGCGATCCGTGAAAATCATTTTAGCATTGAGTCATCGACACTGAACTCTAGACTGACTGACGGCGCCGTCTTTGTAGTCTTCCGACAATGATAGACCGGCACGCTAATTTTAATGCCGTCATCGAATGTCCACGTTTGACACACACACAACACATCGCCTTTGCCTACGGAAACTTTCCCATTGGTCAGGCGCGTCGCTCCTGGCCGCTTTCTAGACCGACGAGCTGCGTCCGAAGGGGGGGGGGGGCGGTCGGGGCAGAAGCTCCACTTGGGAGCCACATTTCGCAGTCGCTAACATTCAGCGATTCCCGACTGCCGAGATCACGACGGCCCCGTAAAACACACCGGAGGGAACTGCCGACGCGGCTAAGAGCGAAGAGACGCGACGACGATAACAAAAAAAATAGCTTTTTTCAAAACCCAGCCGGTGTGCCGTTTTGGCCAATGGGAGGGTGGGGGGGGGGCGGAGGGGCCCTCTCGTCCGTGGCCTGGCGGTTGGTGGCGCTTGAGCCCGTGTCCGAGATGCGCTGGCTGGCTATCCGCGTACGGGGGGGTACGTCCCTTCCCCGCGGTGTCCCGAGCCGTCCGGAATCACGGGGCACCGTGCGGGGAGTGGCACCAACTTTGCCGTCCAATTTATGAATGATCGGTGACGATGGTGAACAGAAGGGTGGTGGCGGGGGGCCATGAAGGATGTCGGTGTTTCATCACCGCCAGCCTTCTTCAGGGCCGATATCGTCCTTCAGCAGAAGGCCATTTGGTCGAAACGCCGGCATCCTTTTACCTCCCACCGCCCCCCCCCTCCCCATCACGTGTCCGCAAATGGCTGACTTTTTTTGCGCTAAAACCCAAAAAAAAATCTTCAAAATTCGACCCAAAACAACAGCGTAAGCTCCGGGGGTCCGCGCGTCGCGCCCGTAATTACGTACGCCCGCCCGACAGTTCCCGTTTGCAGAGAAAAACAAACCCCCCTCACGACGGAATGTTGCCGTAGACGATGCCTCAAAAGTCAGAGCTGTATTCTGATGGCAGTTGAATCTGCGGCAGTAGCGTTTGCTTTATTTTTTGTCTCGACGCTAAACCAAAATGAAAAACAAAACACCATTATACCATATTCTTGGTTCTTTCGGTAAAGTCACGTAGATAGAAAATAAAAATAAAAGCTAATAAAATTTAATAAAATAAAATGTAAAATAAAAGTAATAAATTGAAAATAATAAAATCAAAAAACCCACGACGTTTCCATTGCAACACAAAGCGGTCTTCTTATCTTCTATTTTTATTTCATTTTCTATCAGCGTGGCTTTACCGAAAGAACCAAGAATATGAATTGCTGCAGTCACGAAAGTTTTAAAGTCACCATTATACCCAACTGGTCAAACACCCGTCCCTCACCAAGGCTGTGCACAATCCGTTTTAGATGTAACCACCGGTACGGCGAAAGACCCCCCGGACGTCTTGGACAGGCAAAAGTGCCTTGACGCTCTGGCAGCCCTTCGCCACGCTAAGTGGTTCCAGGTTCGAATTCCGTTTCTACTCCTGTGGCCTTATGAGCGCATTCTATCGCTAAGAGAGTAAAGTAACAAAGAAAATAAGCGTTTAAAAACCAGATACCCGCGCACTCCGATTTTTGGGTTTTTCCCCACCACCCGCGTTGGTGCCATCCTCTTCGCTCATTCGAATGGAAACAGTTGAAAGTGTCCTTGCCGTTAAAAACGGGTTTAGTTTCCCGTCGCAGTCATATCTGTCAACCCCTTATCAGTGCCCTCTTTTATTACAGACCAATTCAGACCTTATTGGTCACCCAGTGCCCCTTATAAATATCAATGTTCTTCCTACAAATCCTACCACAAGGGAGAAACACAAACAAATAGACAAAAACATGTTCTTGCTTGTATTGAAATGGCTGTAAGCCGTATGGACCTCAACTCAATTTCCCTGTGCAAGAATTCGGGTCGAACCGTATGGGTTGACAGGTATGCAGAGTGACGCGACGCTCGAGTTTGGCACCCACCCTGGCTCACTCAAGGACTGTTTCATTCGGCGCGAAGGTTTTATTTGTTGCAGAAACTCCGTCAATTCAGTTGTGCGGTCCCTTCCGGGTTAGGCTGAGCGTTCCGCTTCTGCCCGGGCGCGACTGCGGGCATCTTCGGCGGGCGAAGACGCTCGCGGTCGTGCTTGGGGGGAGATTCTGAACCGAGGCCTCGCCCGGGAAAGGCGAAGCTCACGAAAGGACGTTCGGTCGACTAGGCATTATTTTCAGCCCAGTCGCGAAGTCCCTTTGGCTCACGGAGTTTGAAGTAAAGTAACACTATAGTCGTGCAAAGCTTTAGATGTGAACATTTGAAGCCGAATTGATTGAAACAAAAAAAACATAAAAACCCAAAAATTGGATGCGCGTTAATTGTTGTATTAAAAGCAAGCTGTTTTGAACCCGTTAATGTCATTAAAAAATGACCAGAAAGTAAATCCAGTCCGTAGAAACTTTGACTAATCGTTGATGTTAACCATGCTAATGATAAAACAGTGAGTTGATGTTAACCCTTGTAACGAGTAACCGGAGCCGGCTGTCCCAACCAGTGACACGGCGGCGCTCCGCCGTGCAGCAGATAACGACGAGAGAAAAAAAAAATCTGTTTTTGTTCCTTATCGAGTGAGATGTTTTATTTAATTTCGTTTTATTTTGCTAATTTCTGGTCATTGTATGTGCCAAATCCTTTAGCTATGTAGTCGTTTTTTCCCCCCATGGCAATTTTTCATAAGGCTGCAAGCAAGTAGCCCAGTGATTAAAAGCGCGTGCTGCTTCTCTACGTGAATATAAATATTTGCTTTCTTTCCTTTGACCTTCAGTTTCTTTATCCGTATTGCGATACTTAAATCTCAACGTGATGGCGCGCAGTTTTTTTTCGTGGTGTTGGCGATCGGCAGCAGCCGGCATGGAGACGAGGAACGGCGGACCAGAAACGGAAGCACGCGTTTTTATGTTCGTTAAACCGGCCGCTTTTACAAAAGTTTAATTTGCAATACCACGGCCAGCTACATAAAATAAAAAAATAAAAAGAATAGACCGATTTCTTAATCCCGCCAAACTAAACCCCCAGTCGGCAACAGCCCCGGATCAATCCGGTGACGGCACGGGCGATCGGCATCGCACTCGGCCATTCAAACGTTCCCCCCCTCCCCTCCGGTTTCCGCACAACTGGGATCGGCGGATCATCGGTTTCGCTTGGCCGTGTTAAAGGAGCCGTCGATGCTTCCGCCGGATTGTCTGGTGTGCTTTGCTAAATCTGCCGAAGCGCGTTCTGGTGTTTATTCCGGAAGGACGGCCACACGGCCGGATAGCCGCACAGGCAGGCGAGCAAACGAGCTCTCGTCTAAGAGGCTCCGCCGGCTGCTGCCGCCACCGCCACCGTCACGAACACCAGCGGCGAGAACGTCGGCACGAGACCGCCGCGGTGGCGACGCCGCGGTAACACGGCCGGCGCGGAGCCGCGGGGTGCACGCCCGCCACGGCGCCGTTAGCGACGATGGATTTGTGTTGTTTTGTTTTCTCGTGTGCGCGCTTCTTTGCGTTGGGTGGCGCCCCCCCCCCCCGCTGTTCTAACGATGGCGACAGGCTAGGGCCACGGGCCTGCAGTCGTGCGTCGTCGTCATGCGCGTCCTGCGCGACCTCTGCCGCCGCGTGCCCACGTGGGGGAGCCTGCCCAGCTGGGTGAGATCTCGACGACGATGATGACGATAATGATGATGATGACGATGACGGTAACGACGATGGTGACGACGACGATGATGATGGTGACGACGACGATGATGGTGACGACGACGACGATGATGGTGACGACGACGGTGACGACGACGGTGACGACGACGGTGACGACGACGATGACGACGACGATGACGACGACGATGACGACGACGACGATGATGACGACGATGGTGACGACGATGATGATGACGACGACGGTGACGACGACGGTGACGACGACGATGACGACGACGATGATGACGACGACGACGATGATGACGACGACGATGATGACGACCGCGCTTGACACAAGCCAGGAGGAGAGGCGGGGGGTTAAACCTGGATCTCTGGCACCTCTTGCCAGTATTAAAATAATGAAAAAATAAGAATAGGTTTTACTCTTTCTGACAATAAAACAGGGTGTTTTTGGATGTTTAAACAGTGTTCGACTTTACGGCCTTGCCTCACCAGTGTTCGCCTTTTGGCGTTGTTCTCTGTTCTAACACTGGTGAGACACAAGGCCATACAGAAGGCTGTCCTCTGGTGTCGGCCAATTGGTTTCAAAGACAACGCATATTTTATCAGAGCGTGTTTGTTTGCATGTTTTTCCACAAGTACTGTGGTTGATGCAGACCTGATTCCTTGCAATCGGTAGATATTTGGATTGTTTGTACATCTCAACACCTGTTTTATTGCCAGAAAAGGCAAAGCCTCTTCTTATTTTTTCATTAAACCCTGACTTCGTCCAGAGCTCACAACTCCGCAGAGTGGGGGGGGGGGGGGGGTGTAGGAGGGGTGGGGGGCGGGAAGGGAAAATAAATAAACATGCTTACTCTTTGAAATTATCATTTCCGTTTGAGCTCTGTAAGCTTACTGCCTCTACTGGGATAATGTGTTAAAGGCGTAGCCCTGCAGTTGCCGGCTGCCACCACTGCTGGTACAAGGACCTTGAGGGAGCTGTGGAGAGGGGTGTTTGGGGGGCTTTGCCACACTGGCCCAGATGTCTTAAAAGACGTGACATACCAGTTTGGTTAACCGTGGTGAACCCATTTATAATGATGTTAATTTCCTCGCTTGGTATGCAGAAGTTTGTGGGTTCGATGCCGACCCTGACGCCTGTTGTATATTTGGAGTTTGCGTGGATTTTTCCTCCGGTTTTCCCCGCCACATTTAGAATCAGCATTACGCATTGGAGAGTATTTGGCTGCTATACATTTGCACGTGATAAGCCACTTCGTTGAGTTCTCATTTGTGGCCAGGTCGCTTCTGAAAAAGAGCTGTGTAGCTCGGTACGCTGTGGCCAACACCAGTGACGATTCCCCTAGGTCGACTCGGCCTCAATTGAGTACCCGGTGCGGTGTGCAAACAGCACTTGCCGCAACAGTCTGTTAAAGCTACACGGGGGGGGGAGGGGGGATCTTTGTCAGTGTCTCCTGTGTCTTCGTGTTGTCTCCCCAGGCCATGGAGCTTCTGATTGAGAAGGCCATCAGCAGCAGTGCGGGGCCGCTGAGCCCCGGAGAGGCCCTGCGCAGGGTCCTGGAGTGTCTCGCCTCTGGGATTCTGTTCCCCAGTGAGTGATTCCGCTCGTGTCAGCGCCCACTCCCCACCCCCCCACCCCCCCACACCCCCACGCGATGTTGACCGGCCGTGACGCCGCCGGCGGCTTCATTGTGGTTCTTTTGCGCGCAGACGGCCCGGGCCTGTACGACCCGTGTGAGAAGGCCCCCACGGACGCGCTGGCATCCATGAGCATGCAGCAGAGGGAGGATGTTACCGCCAGCGCTCAGGTACCGATCGCACGGCGACGCGGGGGGGGGGGGGGGGGGAGAGGCGGGGGGGGGGTGGACAGCGGAATGGGGGAGGTGCTAACGGCGGAGGTGGTAACGGCGGAGGTGGTAACGACGGAGGTGGTAACGGCGGATGTACTGTAAGTTGAACTTCTGTCGCACCACCGTACGTAGCCAACTGCTAATGGGGGGGGGGGGGAGGGGGAGGACAACAAACGGAAAACAAAAGCAGTTCTTAAGAAGTGAGTTTACAACCTCGATGATGATGATTTGAGAGTGCATAGCTCCCAGTGGCTTAGTAATGTTGGCAGGAAAGAGGGTTCCAGCTCAAAACGACCTTGGTCCCAGAGGTCGCAAACGGGTTTTGATTCCTTACCCGTACCCGTTCCCTACCCGTACCCTACCCGAAATGAGTGACAAACGGTTACTCACCAGTGACTCACGGCCTACCCGTACCCGGCCGCAACAGGATCGCAAATGGGTACCTGTACCCATACCCAGCCGGGTACGGGTAGCCGGGTATCGGGTAGGGTACGGGTATCGGGTACCCGGTTGCGACCTCTGCTTGGTCCTCAGCAGCTGCAGTCCCGTCTGGCCCCCCAGACGTCTGGTAGTACAGCGTGCTTCAAAAAAATGTTAACACTCATATGGGACTATCGTTTTTAACGGAAAAAGAACGGATAATAAATACACTGTAACATGATAACAAATGTGTGTTAATCGCTTCAAAAAGTCAGTCTTTCTCCACTTGTTCGCTATCGTTGCCAACGCGTGCCTGGAATCTTCTCCAAGTGGTCTCCAGAGCTCGGAGGCACATTTCTCGTGGTGTTGTTAACATTGTTTTGAAGCACCCTGTGTAGTATATACCTCGTGCTCCGCAGGAATGGAGAAGCGCATCTAAAAGCGCCGCGCGATGCCGTGACCGTCTTAAAAGTGAACCGTGATGGTCACTGGCGTTGATGCTTTGGGTGGTCATTGTTAGTGGTGTTTGGCAACGATGGAGTTGGTGGTTTTGATGGTTGTGGCGGTGGCGCTGTTGCTGTTGGAGTTTGGCGGTCGTGGTTTTGTTGGCGGCGGTGTTTGACGGTGGTGTCGTTCGCGGTGTCGGTAGCGGCGATGGCGTGAGCCGTTCGTGGCGTCGGCGGAGTTGGCGCTGCGTTCGTTCTAACCCCACGCGCCGCCTGCCGCCCCCGTGTCTCCCCCCCGCAGCACGCCCTGCGCCTCATGACGTTCCGCCAGGTGTACAAGCTGCTGGGCATGGACACGCCGCCGCTCAGGACGCAGGCGCGGAGCCACAACCGCAAGCGGCGCTGCGACGGAGGAGAGGAGGGTGACGGCGACGGCAAGAAGGACAAGAAGGAGGCCTAGGCCAAGGGTGGCGGGGGGGGGGGCGGTGGTCACCCTGCTGCCCACCCGGCACACCCGGCAACACGCTGCCCGCCCACACCGCCCTGCCCGCACCACCCGGTCCCTGCCCTCGTCCTCTCGCTCCTCGCGTCTCTCGCTCGGTTCGACCCCCGTCCTTCCCGGCTGCCGTTAAAGGCGTCGGCAAATGTCGCTCGCGCAGCTTGCTCGGCTCGCTCACTGTGCGCCGGGGTGGACGACCGCGGGGTGAAGAGGAGGAGTGAACGGAAGGAAGTCCGTTAAGAGTGATGATATTTTTATTTAAGGCCGCAGCGGCAGCAGAAGGATGACGATCATACGAAGGTTTTATTATTGTCGGCTTACGGTTTGTCACATTCCTCTGGCTGCTATGCCGGCGAGTCGCTCATCATTTACAGAGTTTTAAAATTGGTTTGGGAAGTCTCGTTTCAGGCAGCGGCGCGCCGTGTCTTCACGGGCCTTGGCATCTGCCGATGAGACCCAGAAGTTCAAAACCGGTCCATGACTTGCCTGCTTAAAAAAATGCCCCTGGAAAGCATCGGTTCCGGAAGGCCGGATGTTGCCGACGGAAAAAAACGCTGCGGAGGAATGAACTTCCCGTGTGGCTGCGCTGGATTAGTTACTCGGTTAATTAAGCCTGCGGTCCGCATATGCAGCCGCGGTTGCAGAGCGAGCGGCACGAGGGCAGCAGCAGCAGCCCTTGCCGTCCGTCCGTAGCTCCGCGCGCTTCTGCTCTTGGCGACCATAAATCACAAATAAATGGCGTGGGCCTTGGTGACTAGCCACAATCGGGGGAGCTGACCGTGAGGTCGTGTGTCACCCCCCCTCCCCTCGATTGCACCACCCCAACCACCCCCCTCCCCCCCCCATACACCAACGGCAATATCGCGGGGATTGCCCTCCGTCTCCGGAGCGAGTCCGTTAGGTTTGAGCGGATGACTCGGTAGGGGCGGCGTCGCGCTCCCCTGCGTCGCTCTGCCACGATGTGTTCGTGCTGAGCGGGTGCAGTCATCGTGCGGAACGCCCCCCCCACCCCTCACCCTCCCGTGCGCCCACCACCACCACCACCACCGCCGTCCGCCGTGGCGGCGCGGGTTGCCGTTCTACCGTAACCGGTGTTCACCCGCCGACTTCGGCAGCATCCCAGACTCGGATATCGGCTAGACTTTTCATTCTAGCTGTACACACACGCACGCGCGCGCGCGCTCGCTCGCTCGCACGCTAAGAATGTTAATGTATAATAAATGAATAACCACATACGTTAGTGGACGCAAAAAACCTCGATGTCTAGATGTTCTGAAGATTCTGTAGGACGGTGAGTTTCGGCTCAAGTGAATTTGTGTTACATTTTGTTTCTCATTTCAGTTTGTGGCTTCCCGTCGTGAAACCGGTGATTAGCTGCTTCGGCAGCGCTGCTGCGTAGAGGAGGGGGGAGGAGGAGGGGGTGGCTCCTGCCGCCGTAGAGGAGACCCCCAGCAGTGCGTTAGGGGGTGTAGAGCGTGACGCATAGAGGCCCCCCGCCAACCCACCGCCCCGTGGTTTCCTTCGCAGTGAACTCATCACGTCGCTCCCACTTCTACCAACGTTTTTGTTGCGGGTCGGATCTCACGTTGGGAGCTTGCCGATATGGCCCTGCCAGTTGCACTCCAAGCGTCGGACAGTTGAGTGTTTATTCGACAAGTTCTGAATTTGGTTAATATTTATTTGTTAATTTTAACGAAGAGAACCCCCCTAAAACCTAACACGAATCTTTTGCCTAAATTCAATCTGCCTTGTTGATCCAGTCCAGGTTGTGTTTTTGATGCTGTGGCTGCTGCAGCTGCGGTTGCGGCTGTTACTGCAGCTGCTGCGGCTGCTGCGTGGATGGCCAGTGGGCCTACCCAAACACTGCCAGGGCTGGCAGCAAAACGTGGGCTGGATTGATGCGACCTACACCTGGGCCAATGCAGAGTAGCAGCCCGAGCTAAAATCCCAGTCTCGGTCCTTCTTGAGCCCCCCAAGTGCTTTCAGGGCTGCCACTGGCGCGTTGTTCGCCTCGGTGTCCGACGTTTTTCTCTCCACGTGTCGGCAGCTCTGGGAACGGAATTCGTTTACCCTCACCCCACCACCCCCGGGAGCGCAAACGTGTAGGATGTTACGGAGCCCGAAGACGCGCCAGGAGAAGGAGGAGAGAGTCGTCCAAGCACGAGCGCGGAGACCGACCGGCTCGTTGGGGCCCAGACAGTGTCCCGCTCGCTCCAGGAGCTTTGTTTTCTAAGAACGTTGTTGTTGTTTTTATTTATTTCACGTATTTGTGCGCGCGACGGCTTTTACTTTTGCCCAGTTGTGTCCAGTTTGTTGACGTCGTCGCGAGCGACGCACACATGCGTTCCGCGTGTCCCTTAAACTCCACTGCCGGGCTTTATCGCGACTCTCCTTGCTCCACGTTTTTCGGCCTTGCCCGGGGCGGCCCACGTGTGGCGGTGCCGCCGAGCACGTGGGCATTGCAAAAACGTGGCATGGAGTCGCAAATGCCCAGGACGTGGCTTTTGTGGACAGCCGGTGGCTGAATTACTGACTTGACCTTGCATGCTTTCAGGCTTTCAAAACTCACCGCGTAGTAAGAGTTACCGTTGTTTTTTATTTTTTTTAGTATTATTATTCAGACGATGCTTGTTGGTTCCAGAGCTCGCCCCCTTTGTTCTTGAAGGTAACGCGATTGGCAACACCTTTTTAGTTTGTGACACAAACAGGACACGGGGGGGGGGGAAGCTGCGTCGTGACTTCCGTGTACAAGTGCAGTGTTGTGTTTGGATGTCGGTGTCGCCCGATGTAGAATTAAAAACCTCGAGAAATAAAACAACAAGTGCTGACACCTTCAGAGTTTGTGGGGGGAAGAGAAGAAACACTCCTCGAGGTCAAATTGGTGTCACCGGTCATGTCACCACCGGTCATGTCACCGGTCATTTCACTCGCGGTCTCACTGGTCGTGTCACTGGTCATGTCACTGGTCATGTCACTCGCAGTCTCACTGGTCATGTCACTGGTCATGTCACTGGTCATGTCACCAGTTATGTCACTGGTCGTCTCGTCTCACCGGTGACCTCACTGACCAGCCAAATGGCGTCGGGCTGCATCGGTTGTGAGGCTGTCCCTGGCTGAACTCCCGTGACCCGCACAAAGCTTCATCGATTACAGCGTGGAAGCGGGTGGGGGTAGGGGGTGGGGGTTGTTGGGAGGATGAAGAGAGTTACTGTTGCGTGGCCGTCTGTCGGGAGGAATACAATATGAGTGATCGATAGTGGGTGGACACGCGTGTGTCGATATGAGGCCATGCCTGGTTATCTCGCGAAAAACAGACGAGCTGGGATTTCAAGTTCTTCCCGTGCAGTGGTTCTTCTTCGCCCTGGGGGGCTCGCAACACGCCCTGGGGGCTCACAACACGCCATGGGGGCGCGAGAGTGGGGTGCGAGAGTTTGTGCGAGACATGGCCCAGATTTGTTTTTTTGTTCGAAGGGAAATCATCAAAAGACTCGAATTAAGCGCGGATTTAACGACACGTCCATATTTAGATTTAAAGCCTTCGTGACTGCAGGGATTCATCTTCTTGGTTCTTTCGGTAAAGTAACGTAGAAGGGAAATAATAAAACAATAAAAATTCTCACGACGTTTCGGCCACAACACAAGCAGCCGTCCTGCTGCTTTTTTCATTTATTTTATTTCCCTTCTACGTGACTTTACCGAAAGAACCAAGAAGGACACGTCCATATTTACAACTTGCATCGCTTCATAACCTCCATCTCCCCCCTCCCTAGACACCCAGAGACGATCGAACAGAACAAGACACCCAACAATTCTGAATCGTGTTTTGTTTATTTTTTTCTTAGTGGGATGGCAACTTCCAATCAGATCACGGGTCGACGTCACGCGGCTGCACGAGGTCGTGTGCTCTCTCGACCAATCATAGCACGCCCTTCCCTCCCCCCCTGGTTCGTGCAACATGCGCTCATCACCGTCAGGACGCGACTCCGTCAATAATTGTCACCCCCAGCGTGCCAGGGCCCTGGTCAACTGTGAAGTGCCGCCCAGACACCGCTGACATCGCCACCACGACCACGACAACTATCGAACAAGACAAAGATCCCCCGTATAGCCTGTAATAGACCGTTGGGGCAAGTGCTGTTAGCGAGCGCCTATGAAGGCCGGAACACGGCACACGAGGGGGTGGGTGGCCAACGCCACGCCCGGCCGCCTTTGTCTTTTTTGTGGCGATGTTTACGGGGCCGTACATAAATGACGTCACGCACCTAGGGGGGGGGGGTCAGACATTTGTGACGATGTGTGACGGCGGGGGGGGTCAAAAATCGTCCAAAATCGCGTGACGTCATTTATGGACGGCCCCAACACACCGCACCAGGTAGTCATTTGAGGCTCGGTCGACCTAGGGGAGGCCCAGGACCGGTTCAGATAATCGCCACTGGTGTTGGCCGTGAGCGAGAATCGAACTCGGGTTCGTAGCGCAGCGCGCTAACCGCTGCACCACCGCTCCCCACACCACAAACTATTCATCAGCAGCAGCATCTCCACAACCAGCCACCTCCCTGCGCTCTTCCCCACCCGTCACCTGACGGCCGGGCCCAGGTATGTTGACGGCTTTGATCCGGCACTTTGGAGGCAAGGGTTGGTGGTTCACGTGGAGAGTTGTCGGGACTTGTCAGGTTCGCTGGGCTCCCAGGTGGCCAGGAGATGGCAGAGCTCCATAGAGAGAGACAAAACATAGGCTCTATGTATCTCTGATATCTGTCTGCATATATGTCTGTCTATATGTCTCTGGTTCTGTTTTATCTCTCTCTCAAATTTAGCATTCTCAGGAAGAACGCAATCAACCAGGTCGGGTGTTGACATGTTATCCGACTCTCTGTTGTATTACATTCCATTTCTAAGTATACTAGATTTGTGTTTCTATTTCATTTATACCTGATGATGATTGCTTGTGTTGCAATCGAAACGTCGTATGCTAGTATTTAATTTATTATTTTATCTTTATACGTGACTTTACCGAAAGAACCAAAGAGTAATTCCTGCAGTCACGAAAGCTCCAAATTAAGTTAGAGCTCCACGTTAATTAATCAAATGCACGGACATCTACGGTACCCGCAGTCGGTTTAACACGGAGGCTTTCGCGACCAATATTCATAATAAAGGTTTTTTTCAACACACCGGTGGGCTAAAGTAGTGAACTATTTGTCTTTTGTCAACGTGACACATTTTTTACTGTTTGGCCGTGTCGGGTGGTGGAGGGTTACGACACATTTTAAATAACGTGATCTAACCCCAAAACACTTTTATGGTACTCGCAGTGCCGGATTAAGGTAGTGCGGGGCCTGTAGCATGATGTTATAAAGGGGCCATAAATAAATAAACAACGTAAATATTTCAAACGCTACATTTTTTTAATGCACAGTCAAGTAATTGTATTTTTTCATTTGCTATACAGCCAGATAATACGACAAATCGCTCACCTTAAACACCCAGTCGTTCATAAAAGTTGAAGGTGGTATAGTACTATAGTAATAGAGCAAGTGCAGAATCAGCTGAACCGTAATTGATGGCTTTAAAAGCATTTAGCGCGGGGCCCTTGAAAGTGCGGTGCCCGTAGCATTTGTAGTAGCTACTACTACATATGTAGTAGTAGCTACTACTACACGTGCAGTAGTAGCTACTACACATGTAGCTACTACACATGTAGCTACTTTTGTTACTGCGATAATCCGGCACTGCTACACGGGGGCATCTTTGTCTTGGGTAGTAGTGATAATAGTAGCTGGTGGTGGTTGTATTGATGTCCAGGCGTAACAATGTTCTTGCTCCTGCTGTTGCTGTGTGTGTGTGCCACGTTTTCCACCTTGGACAGTGTCGGGATATTGAATTGAAAGATGCCGTGCGAACGTTGACTTCAAATGCTGCGAGCTTGGGAGGGTGAAGAGACAGAGAGACAGAGAGAAGCGGCCGCTCGTGGCGTCGAGCTGCTTGTCAATTATTGTTAGGTTTTTAAAATCCTTTATATTAAGTTCACTTGCTTGCTTGCGCGCTTATGACCGTGCAAATCTTTCGGTCGTTTTTAACCCACTTCCCGTGATCCAATCGAGCTGACATTTTGCACACAGACTCGTTGTGCGTGACAATTTATTTTCGTGAAAAAATGTTTCCATAACTTTACACTTTTTAGGAATTTTTTAAAAATATTTAATTACCAATTGCTTAAGGGTGGCAGGCAATCATCTGACCAATAGGTGGCAGCCATCTCAAGCCAGAGGACGAGACGACTCTAGCCGCCACGCATATAAAGGATTTATAGTGAAAAACTTAGTTTTTACGGGTTAATTTTTTTCCGGTAAAGTCACGTAGATATAAAAAAAATGAAAATAAATCAATTAAATCACGACGTTTCGGAGGCAACACAAGCTTCCTTCATCAGGTGTAAAAAAGGGCACATCGTGATATAATAGATTTATTTCCATTTATTATTATTTTATTATTTTCATTATATTTTTTTACCAACGTGACTTTACCGAAAAAAACCTAAGAGTTTGAATCCTTGCAAGTCACGAAAGCTTCAAATCTAGAAAGAATGCTTGTCAATTCTTGAGTTGCCTTCTGAGCACGGAGGAGATCTCATTTCTCAGCTGAGTGCTACGAACCCGACATGCACCGCGGCGCAGTACGATGGCTTCCCTGCCAATGCATCCGCGTGGAGTCGTTTGATGTCGCAGGCTGTCAATAAGCGAGTGTCAGTCACCACGTGTAGTGGGGGTTGCCTGGGGAAAGGTGATTCACTCCACAGCGCGCGTCACCGACATTGAGTGCCCATCACTCACCCATCACTCACCCATCTCTACCATCACTCACCCATCACTCACCCTTCACTCACCCATCAGCCATCACTCACCCATCACTACCATCACTCACCCATCACTCACCCATCACTACCATCACTCACCCATCACTCACCCTTCACTCACCCATCAGCCATCACTCACCCATCACTCACCCATTACTCACCCATCACTCACCCTTCACTCACCCATTAGCCATCACTCACCCTTCACTCACCCATCACTACCATCACTCACCCTTCACTCACCCATCACTACCATCACTCACCCATCACTCACCCATCACTACCATCACTCACCCATCAGCCATCACTCACCCATCACTCACCCATCACTACCATCACTCACCCATCACTCACCCATCACCACCATCACTCACTCATCACTACCATCACTACCATCACTCAACCATGACTCACCCATCACTATCATCACTCACCCATCACTCACCCATCACTACCATCACTCACCCATCACTCACCCTTCACTCACCCTTCACTCACCCATCACTACCATCACTCACCCATCACCACCATTACTCACCCATCACTACCATCACTCACCCATCACCACCATCACTCACCCATCACTCACCCATCACTACCATCACTCACCCATCACTCACCCATCACTACCATCACTCACCCATCACTCACCCATCACTACCATCACTCACCCATCACTCACCCATCACTACCATCACTCACCCATCACTCACCCATCACTACCATCACTCACCCATCAGCCATCACTCACCCTTCACTCACCCATCATCTCACACACATCAACTATTCACCCATCACCCTTTGGTCACCCTACAGCACACAGCAGCCATCAACTATCACTACCCACCAAGATAATCCCGCATAAGCGAAAACACACACTTCCATCGCCTCCATCACTCGCCGATTATTCTCACATCCACATTCATCACCCTCCTCCACACTCGCCCATCACTCATCCCACGCATCA